TTCTTTCTTTCTTTCTTTCTTTCTTTCTTTCTTTCTTTCTTTCTTTCTTTCTTTCTTTCTTCAGGCTCTCACTATATTACCCAAACTTTTGGGCTAAAGTGATCTTTCTCCATCAGCCTCCACAGTAGCTGTGGTAACGAGTGCACTGTCCCCTCTGCCTTTTGGCTTCACTTTGAATGATACTTTCTTAGGACACAAAATTTTTGATATTTATTTTGTTCTTTCAACACTGCAAATGTTTCACTCTGTCTTCTTCCTCTGGTTTTGAAGAGAAAGAAGATAAATGTGATCTCTTGCTCCTCTACAGGTAACTTGCCTTGCCCTCAATTTTGTTCAGAATGTTTTTCTTTATTCTTTATTTTCTGTATATTGAAAATGATATAGCTAGCTATATTTTTCTGGTATTTATTCTTCTTTGTGTTCAGCGAGTGTAGCAGATTGGGAATTTAGTATCTGACACCAATTTGGGGACAATTATTAACCAGTATTATTTTGAAATTCTTATCATTTCTTTCTCTTTTTTCTTCTTTCCTGTGTTCAGATCACACGTACGTTTATAGTTCATTTAAAGTTCCTGAATACTCTGGGTTTTTTCCAATCTTTTTCTCCTTGCTTTTCAATTTTGAAATTTTACGGAGATATTTGAAACTCAGATCTTTCCTGCTTGGACTGTATCTTGTCTTCTAAACCCATGTCTCTCAAACTCACCTTGCAGTTTTTCAGTTACTGATCTCTAACCTATCTCTTTGGATCCTGAGATTTCTATCACCCTGCTGACTCCACCCACCTGTTCTTGTTTGTTGCTTATGTTATGCATTAGATCTCTCAGTATGTTAACTATGGTTGTTTCAAATTTCCCTTCTGATAATACCAACATCGTACCTCAGTCTGACTTTCAGGCTTCCTCATTCGCTTCAAACTTTGGGATTTTTATTTATCTTAGTACATTTTAGATACACATAATGATAGCATTTATCTTAGGGAATTCCCTCAAATCATTTTTTTGTTCTTTTCCCATTATTTCTGTTTTTTTCTTTAAGGCAGACTTGATGATCTGTAAACCCAAAGTTGCTGCCGTATGTAATTCTTTCAGAATGTGGTATAATGTGTAGGAGGAGCGGCAGTATTCTATCATCTCATGAGTAAGCCTCAGTCCTTTAGTGGACCTGTATGTATAGACTGTGAACTTGAAGCATACTTCTTAGTTGCTTCCCCCTCTTTCATGAGGTGGGAAGATTTGGGTATTTCCTTTCTTCCAGAAGAAAGCTATGGAAAATGGAGTTGGATTTCTCTGTCTTCATAAACCTTTAAATATAACCCCAAACTCCCTGTGCCTAAGTGAAAAGTGTAACTAGAATTGTTGCCTTTATGCTTTTATATATAATTTCATTTTTTTCTTTGAAAGCTGAATGCTTTGGAGAAATATTGTAAGTTATTATACACGATGTAGAAGACAGTTTCTTTTTTTCTCTTTTCATAGAACTGCCTACTTGGGCTTGGCTGCTGCCTTGAGATTTCTAGCACTTGTTCTATATATTGTATTAATTCGTGCCATGAAGAAAAAATATGAAGGAAAAGATACTAAAGCATTGGAAAATGGAGGGAAAGTCATGGATGAGGCAAACTTGGCACCCTTAAATAGCAATGGACATTTTGTACCTTCTTCTTCAGAAGTTGATGACACACATATTTAAGGCAAGGAAAAGATATAGCAATGGATTATTGAAGCAATGAGGTATTATTTTTCAGTTCTGCTCAATTCGCTAAGACTTTCTACACTCTACTACTCTACATATGAGGGAATGATGAATATGCCTATGAATATGTAATTAAACAAATACAAACATAAAGAATGGAGTACTAATTGTTAGGGTATAACTAAGCACTTGTGGTTATATTGGATAATATGATCCATAAAAATTTAGAGTTAGGATATAGTAGAAGAAAAGTATTTGCTAGGGTAATTGCAAATTTAAATGAAACTTGTAACTAGATATTACACAGAAGTGAAAAAAAGTGAGAAATTAATAGCCTAAGTAACGAGAAAATTGTGTCTCAAAAAAAGAAAAGAAGAAAAGAAAACAGAAAAAAAGAAAAGAGAAATGAAAGAAAAAAGAAAAGAAAAGATAAGATAAGAAAAGAGAGAAAACAGAAAAGAATAAATGATGTTATTCAAACCTGATGTCTCACCTTACGGGGGATTTATGGAAACTTGACATGTATTATTTACGTTGTCATATATTTCACAGACTTTACTAATTTAAAATTTGAAATTGTATTTGACTAACAACTCCGATGCATCTTCTCTCCATCTCCCACTAAAACACTGCTGAATAAACTTAGATATTAAAATATTGGCAAGCTATGATTATCTGAAAAATGTTTTAGAAGGTAAGATTCTATCAGACTCACAGGAGTAGGTTGAAACAAACTGACTTTGACTTGAGAAAGTAAAGACCATTTAATAGATACGGTTTTATTTTACCCATCTGTTTTCTGGAGAAAGTGAAGTTTATGTCAGATAAAATATCAGATCTCATCATTCCATGAGTGGTTTTTTCTGTTCATTTATGTGTGTTGGTGCACAAAAGGTTGTCTTCCTCTATTATCTGGTATCTTCTCTACTGGGACAAGGAGAATGAATAAGAACAAATACTTGAACATTGTATTTTCTATTGCGTTTGATTGTATTATAAAAATGTTAGAATTATAGTCTTAGAATTTTCATTGGTACAAGGGTTTTTTTGTTTGTTTGTGTTAGAGTTACTTGTGAAATTGAAAAGGAGTTATAATCATAGATCCAGAGACTGATTCAAAACATTGGCAATGCCGTCTGGAAATATCTTTAGATTTTCTATATGTCATGATAGGAGCCTTTGCTATGAGACAAAATACATGTCAAGAGAAGTTAAATTTGAGTATAGAAAAGTAAAAAATGCATTCTAGAAATTAGTTATTGGCTTAGAAATTATATATATTAGCTTGTTTCCAGGCTGTAGATCCGGGAAAAGATTTATTAATCAAACAGAAATTTGGTGGAAGAAACCACCCACATGCTAGATTAGTGGGTGTGAAATAACAAATTTTATGATAAGTTGGTGGGTACAATATTATAAGACTCATTGAAAAGTAAATAGAAGAAATAATTATTGAGTGTCCGCTATTTATAAAATAATATGGAATAAGGGAATAAAACTTAAAAATTACACTCATTAGCATACACTTAAAAATGAGAGATAAATATTTTAAAATTAAACTATAAAATTATATAAATTATGAGAATACATTTACATTTATACATATGATATATACAGTAAAGGAAAAAACATTAAAAATACACTTTTATTTGATCGACTGCAGAATCCAAGAATACAGAGTAAATGATAACCTTTAATCAAATGCTATTTTTGAAAATAGAAGTATAACCCCTAGCAGGAAAATGCCATTAATTCAATAGAGAAATAAATAAGGTAGGAAAAGTTTCCAAGAAACTAAAATAAGAGTAAACTATCCATTGGATAGAGTTAAAAGAAGACAGTGACCAATAAAAAAAAAAAAATCACATCATTTATGAGGAAGCTACGTAAAGCTGCCAGCCGTAGAGATAAGACAGTTCTCTTAATTGACAAAATTTACTACTTAGAGAAGTCTTTGAACTGACTCCCAAGGTCCTGTTCAGTTTTCTTGCTTGCCTTGGCATCCCCTTCCTTTGACTGAAAACCAAAATAAATACAGGCTACTGAGAGAAGTTCTTTATCTCAGCCCGCAGGGAATCTCAAATTCCATTAGAGGGTTTTTGACCTTCCTGAAGCCCTAAAAATCTTATCACTTTTCTCTTTTATTTAAACCCTTTGCTGTCCTCACTCTTACTCTCCTCACTCACTTAGGAGATTAGGGCTGGGCCAAGATCCTGATACAATATATCTCATGTTGTAATGCATTTTTAATTTAAACATTGCCTGATTTTATCATACCTCATATGATGAAAGCCTATGTATGCTTGTTTAGTGTGGCTTTGGTTCACGAACTTGACTCTTGTCATGGTTTTGTTCACAAACCGAATTGGACAAGAACCAGATCAAATTCAGTGGTTAGGGTCAATGCTGAACTCGTGGGGAAATTTGATTCAGTTCTTGTCCAGTTTGCTTTGAAAACCAGAATCATGAAAAGAATAGAGTTTATGAACTGGAGTGCCATTTGTATGTTTTTCTAGGGAAAAAATTCATTACTTTCATCAGATTTTCAACAGCAGTTTTAAATTAATAACTAGGCTATGTGTGTAGTAAATGTAATGATTGATGCTAAAATATGGATTTGTTTCTTCACACGAGTTAAAATGGTATGTCCTGAAGGAACCCAGTTTACTACTGTACTCAGATTTTATCTCTCAGGGTGATTTTGGTAATCTCCATACTGCTTTTCCTCTGGTCACTGCTGCTACCTTTTGTTTTGTTTTTTTACTGAATAAATTCTTTTTTTTTTGATACCGAGAATCGAACTCAGGATCTTGCACTTGCCAAGCAGGTGCTTGTGCCGCTGACCTATATTCCTAGCCCTGAATAAACTTCTTGATGATCAATAGTGTATATTAAATTTCTGTGTCGGTTTGGGGCTTATTTTGCAAGGGGAACAACATAATACAGGACACATACTTTATATGATTATTTATAAGTCACCCAAAGAACAGTATACAAAAGAGTGCAGGGAATCTGTCCACACACTAAGACCAAGGAATCCAGCTGAGGGCCTGGATCCCACAACAATGTCCTACATGAGTTGAGCTGAATACCCAGAGCTCATAACAATGCCTCCCATGAATCCAACTGGAGGCCCAGAGCCTGTGACAACGTCTCATGCAGGCCTGTTTCATGGATCTCCTGGGAAGGCCCAAAGTTCAGTGGTGGAATCTACAAAGTCTGTGCCAGCAGGAAGAAGGACCTGTGCTAGCAGGCTGAGGGATCTGCACTGGAGCCAGGAAGTGATGCTCAGAAGAACCACAACTCCCCCAAAAGTTACCATGGCCATCCTTGGCAACTGTGAGGTCCCGAGCTCCTCCGATGATCAGGATGGCCGAGTTCCCATCAGGGAAAGCAATGCAGCAAGCTTTTCCAGGAGGCTGGCAGTGCACCATTTTCCCTTCTGGAACCAGGAAGCTATGCTCAAAGTGAGGACCAGGGCTCTCCAAAGTGAACTGAAGCCATTCTCAGTGCCAGCGAGGTCCCGAGCTCCTCGGAGTATGAAAACAGCCAAGTTCATCAGGAAAGCCAGCTCCCCACAGGCTCTCTCAGCCCCCAACAGCCTGCCTCTTCTTCTCCAGGTCTGCCTCTTATGCTGCTGGCAACAGTCCTCAGGTGGGCCTCCCACACCCAGCACCACAGTTACTCAGTTCAACTGGGGTTATAAGTTGACCACCAGTTATCAATCCACTACAATTTCCATGAAATTTTCAGAACTTAACATATCACTACTAATGAATTTAATGAGTAATTTTGATGGTAAATATTATATACTTTCAGAAAATATGTTCTCAAAAAATACAAATTAAAATATATTAAGTACCAAAAAAAAATATCTGAACATGTGGAAGAAAAGGACAAGGAGGTAAATTGGGAAAGAAGGATTCAGAGAGGACACTAAAAATTCTGATATTTCTGAGACAGAAATCAAAAGTGGAATAGAAGTACTAGTCAAGTACATTATGGAAGAATAGCTTTCTGATATGAAGAAAGATGAACATATGGGCCATGGTCTCTTCATTTCTACCATATCATCACACCTCCAGATTGGGATTTCATCAAAACTGGAAAAGATAATTTTATCAATCATCACTTTACTCACGGGATTAAAATTTCAATCATTTTGTTGCTGATGGTCCTCCCTCCCTTTTTCCCTCTCTCTCTCTCGCTCTCTCTCTCCTTTTCTTTCTTTCCTCCTTTTCCTCTTATAACCCCGCATTCTTCATTTTCTTTCTTCTTGGGGCTGAGAATGAAACCCACAACCTTGGACATATTAAGGATGGTCTCTAACACCTACCTAATCACTACTGCTCCAGCCCCAATCATTTTTAAAAAGAAGATATTGATACTGTAGAACCAAAGAATGTGAGGATACTCATAGAATAAGAGAAAAGTTCCCAGATATATGAGATTAACCAAGATATAATTCTGTTGCATTTTGTTTAGGGCTTATTTTACCAATCAAGGTCATGTGTGTTTAAACTCTCTACAACAATGTTATTTGTCACATGCATTAAAGGCAAAGTTTTCATTTGTCTGATAATTCTAACATCTGCTGTGTACCTGAGGTTTTGTTCTGATGATTGTTTTTCTATTCAGATTGCTTTTGTTGCCTTTTTATATCTTAGAAATTTTATTGAAATCTACAAGCATGATGCAGGATAGTTGATACCACAGTAATTTGATTTTAGAAGGGCGTTGTGCACTTCTGTCTTCCAGCTAGGTGCACAGCGTGTGGGTATGTGTCAGGTGCAGGGCTGAGGTTGAAGTTTGTGTTACAATTACCCTAGTTCCATCAAGGGCTTCAGATCCTCTGTTCCCATGTGACTTTAGTTCTCCATTTTGGCTCTGTCACCCAGGAACAACCTGTCCCTTTTCACCTTCCCAGCTTCATTGCACTCTCACTAAATAGGGGAGGGAGGACGTTGGGGAAAGGGTGGTTTCTCTGTTCTGATTAAGGTCATTCTTAGGCAAGCTCTGTGAAACTGGCCTTGGGGATGACCTGACCTACCTCAAGGATGGAGCTTTTCTTTCTTGTTTGTTTTCTGGGTGCCAGAGGTTTCCACCAGTACCTTCAAGCTATAATTTTTACTGCCCTTTGCCCTTGGAAATAAAGACTCTGCTCTTTAGAGAAGAAAGGAGGGATTGGTCTTGAGCAAATCTCGAGAAGTTCTTCCTTTGTTCCTACCTTTCCATCAGCAATAGAGCTCTCAAGATTCTAATCCACTTGGAGAATTCCTACTAGGGGTTTGGGAAGGATCAGATTCAAGCATTTTCAGTGCTAATGTCTGCAGTATAGGGGTCTTAACTTCTCATGACACCTAGTGCATAGCCTTTAGAAGCTTATTAAAAATTTCTGTCAGTTATTTTATGACTTCTGTGGCATTGGCTATCTTCTGCTCTGTACTAATTTGTTTTCTATTGCTATAGAAAAATACCTGGGGCCAGGTATATTATAAAGAAAAGAGGTTTATTTGACTTCCAGTTTTAAGGGTGAAAAAGTTTGGATGACCCACTTACCTGGGTTATTGTGAGGCTCTCATGGCAGATGACATTATAATTGTAGCAATGCAGGGTAAGACAGGAAGCCAGAGACAGCCAGGGGTCAGTCTTGCCCTTTCTGTAGAAACCCATTCTTCCATGAATTAACCAAGGCTTCACAAGTACCACATTAATCCTTTCTGAGAGCATCATCCTCAATGACCTATTTGTCCTGCACCAATCCCAACCTCTTAAAGATCCCACCACCTGTGAACAGCACCACACTGAAAACCAAGATCTCAGCACCCAAACCTTCTGGGGACAAG